ATCTTGGACATGGAAGAAGATAAAGATGTTCCACTCATTTTGGGGTGACCTTTCTTAGCCACTGGGAGAGCAATTGTAGATGTCCAGAAGGGGCAGCTGATATTAAGGCTGGTGACGAGCAAATCTCATTCAACGTGTTCAAAGCAATGAAATTCCCTACTGAGGCAGACAGTTGTTTCCAGATCGATGTAGTCGACCGAATAGTTCAAGACACATTTGGGCTACATCATCCTTCTGATGCATATGAGGCATGCATTGCACATTCACAATCCACCCATTCTGAATCAAGTGAGATTGAGACATGTGCTAGGTTTTGGGAGAGTAACCAGCCATATATGCGTAGATGCTACTATGAAGAGCTGGGAACTAGAACTGCAAAATCAGTGCCATCTATTGTGAAACCACCCAAATTGGAACTCAAACAACTGCCACCACATCTTCGATATGCGTACCTGGGGGAATCTTCTACACTACCTGTTATAATTTCAAGCACTGTCAATGAGGTAGAGGAAGAGAAACTACTTCAGGTGTTAAGGGAGAATAAAACAGCTATTGGATGGTCTATTGCAGATATAAAGGGGATCAGCCCATCCATATGCATGCATAAGATACTCATGGAAGAAAAATTTAAACCAAGCATTGATGGGCAGCGGAGATTGAATCCACACATGAAGGAAGTGGTTAGAGCTGAGGTATTGAAGTTGCTCGATGCAGGCATTATTTATCCAATATCAGATAGTGCATGGATCAGTGCAGTGCAAGTTGTTCCCAAGAAAGGAGGAATCACAGTGATAGAAAATGAGAGAAATGAGTTGATTCCTACACGGACGGTGACTGGATGGAGAGTGTGCATTGACTACCGTAAGGTTAACTCTGCTACTCGAAAGGATCACTTTCCATTACCGTTCATTGATCAGATGTTTGAGAGATTAGCAGGGCATTCGCACTACTATTTTCTAGATGGGTACTCCGGGTATAATCAAATTCCAGTGGCACCAGACGATCAGGAGAAGACCACTTTCACTTGCCCCTACAGTACCTTTGCATACAGAAGGATGCCATTTGGATTATGCAACGCTCCCGCTACCTTTCAGTGCTGCATGATGGCTATTTTTTCAGACATGATTGAGAAATACATCGAGGTATTCATGGATGACTTCTCTGTGTTTGGATCTTCATTTGATGAGTGCTTGGAGCATCTAAGTCTTGTGCTACAATGGTGTACGGAGACCAACTTGGTGTTGAATTGGGAGAAATGTCACTTTATGGTGCAAGAAGGTATCGTACTAGGGCACAAAATTTCAGCAAAGGGTATTGAAGTAGATAGGGCAAAGATTCAAGTGATCGAGAAGTTACCACCACCTACCTCAGCGAAGGGTGTTCGCAGTTTCCTTGGGCACGCTGGATTCTACAGAAGGCTTATCAATGATTTTTCAAAAATTACCAAACCTCTGTGCTATTTACTGATGAAAGAGTCCACATTTGAGTTTACTGATGAGTGTCTGCAGGCCTTTAATACTTTGAAAGAGAAGTTAACTTCAGCACCTGTAATTATCACATCGGATTGGAATCTGCCATTTGAATTAATGTGTGACGCCAGTGACTATGCTGTGGGAGCCGTGTTGGGTCAATGAAGGAAGAAAGTATTTCATGTGATCTACTATGCAAGTAAGACTTTGAACGATGCTCAGTTAAATTATGCCACTACGGAGAAAGAGCTTCTTGCTGTAGTCTATGCGTTTGACAAATTTCGATCATACCTTGTGGGGTCGAAGGTCATAGTCTACACAGATCATGCCGCCATCAGATACTTGATGGAGAAGAAGGATGCTAAGCCACGCCTCATCCGTTGGATATTGCTACTTCAAGAGTTTGACCTGGAAATCAAGGATAAGAAAGGCAGTGAAAACGTGGTAGCGGACCACCTATCTCGGCTTGAGGACACAGAACAGGAAGAGACAGTGGAAATAAACGAGATCTTCCCAGATGAGCAGATCTTTGGTGTGATGGAAGCACCCTGGTATGCAGACATAGTTAACTATTTAGCCAGGTCTATCATACCGCCAGATTACTCAAGTCACCAAAAGAAGAAATTCTTCGTGGAATTGAAGTACTACTTTTGGGAAGACCCCATTCTCTACAGGTGGGGGGCTGATCAAATCGTTCGGCGTTGTGTACCAGAGGAAGAGGTGCCTTTGATATTAGAGAACTGTCACTCGTCTATATATGCAGGGCATTTTGGTGCTTCTAAGACAGCGGCGAAAATTCTCCAATCAGGTTTTTACTGGCCCACACTCTTTAAGGATGTGTTTGAATTTGTAAAGAGGTGTGACCGATGTCAGCGCACGGATAACATCTCTAGAAGAAATGAGATGCCTTTGAGTAGTATCTTGGAGGTGGAATTATTTGATGTCTGGGGGATCGATTTCATGGGGCCATTCCTACCATCTTTTTCGAATCAATACGTTTTAGTGGCGATGGACTATGTCTCGAAGTGGGTTGAAGCGGTTGCATTGCCTACAAATGATGGGAAAGTGGTGATTGAGTTTGTGAAGAAGAATATTTTCACCCGGTTTGGGACACCGAGAGCCATAATCAGTGACGGGGGCGCACATTTCTGCAATCGTCAGTTCGAGCAGTTATTATCAAAATATGGCGTCAAGCACAGCATAGCCACCGCATATCATCCCCAAACCAGTGGACAGGTCTAAGTATCCAATAGGCAATTGAAGCGCATTTTGGAAGTCACAGTTAACTCATCACGAAAGGATTGGTCAAAGAAACTGGATGATGCCTTGTGGGCCTACAGGACTACATTCAAGACTCCTATAGGAATGTCTCCATATCAATTGGTTTTCGGGAAAGCATGCCATCTACCTCTTGAGATCGAACATCATGCTTACTGGGCGATGAAGAAGTTGAACATGGATTTGAAGGCTGCAGGTGAAAAACGGCTGTTACAACTGAATGAACTTGATGAACTCAGAATGGAAGCCTATGAGAACTCAAAGATCTACAAAGAGCGCACCAAGAAATGGCATGACATGCATATCCAGAGGCGTGACTTTCAAGTGGGGCAAAAAGTGTTACTGTATAACTCCAGACTTAAGCTGTTTCCAGGAAAATTGAGATCGAGATGGTCTGGTCCATACACCATTACACAAGTATTTCCACATGGGGCAATTGAGATCACTCACGACAGCAAGGGGACATTCAAAGTCAATGGACAGCGGTTGAAGCATTACTGGGGTGGTGATTTCTCAAAGGACAAGTCTACCGTCCAACTTGGATCACCAGAATGACGCATTACGGTAAAGTCGAGCTATCGACTATAACCTAGCGCTGAGTGGGAGGCAACCCACTGTATCCTTATTTTATTTTATTGCATTGCACTAGTTTAGGAATTTGTTTGAGTTTAATTTGTTTCTTAGGTCATCGATCATCTTTTGCATGATAGCCTAGGCACTACACGTTTAATGTTTCATGAATGGGTGCTAAATGACGTGTTTGGGTGTTCGAGTGTGTGTCACGCATTCCGATGTGCGGAGATGTTCATTTTGGTTAAGCTTTCAGAATGCGGGACAACAGTTAAAAAAAATTGACAAAAATGGCACTCGGTTTTTATTATTATTATTATTTTTTTATTCTATTATTTATAAAAAAAAAAAAATTTACCCAGTTTGGTTTATGCGGTCGCATAGACCAATACCGAAAGCCAAAGGGGGCTTTGGCTTTGCACTATGCGACCGCATA